CCCCCCCCCCCCCCCCCTTGGGAAGTAGTCCTTAACGTTGTGATATCCATCGCATTCGGTCAGGACGAGAACTCATGATCTGTTTACAGAGAGTTACATGTGCATATGATGGACGGGCCGTATCAATAATGTCGGAAGTGCAAAATATGTTGTAGGCTTGTAGCAATTTATAGACAACATCACAAAGGTGGAAATGGTATGTGTTGTGTTCGAATAGTGCACTTGAGCCTGGTTTACCAAGCTTCATTGTTTTTCCAAGTCACAAAGGTTTAAGTCGGTACGTGCTGTGTTCGAGTACTGCACCTCAGCCTGGTTTTGTGCTCGTCATTGGTTTTCCACGTCTGATTGTCTTTAGTGCGAGTTACATTAACGGAGATAATATCAAACCTGAACCTCAGCTTATCCTGCACCATGCAAGATTAATATGGGTTGTGGCTTAATGGCAGATGATAATTGACACTAACTGGCACAGCCTTGCAGTATCACTACCGAAAACCACAATTTCAGAATTTCTGCACTTGGGATTTTCTAGATTCAGTGTTGTTCTGCCAATGCCCCTGGAAGATTCAACCATTTCTGCAGCTTGTCCTCTCCCATTTGGAAATTGGATCACAAAGAAGTCAGCTGCTTGCTACCTTGCCTAGTGGCATGACCGAAGCGGGTGACCGTAAACTTTGTCCTCCTTCACTCTCTCAAATGAAACAACCCATGGAATCCTTAATTATTAATCACTTTAAAGCACCAGTACATGGGCACCTGGGCCGCGGGCCTGACACCTCAAGTTCTGGAGGCGCAAAACAAAAACGCGACCACCGATCGAATTTATGAAGGGTGGGCCCAGTGTTTGACGGTTTGGCCTTGTGTTCTTGTGGCGACAAGTTTCGGACTCCAAGGCCGGGGCCGCATACTTGTGATTTAAGCCTTACATGAAGGGTGTGTCTGTAACAGCTTTTTCTACGTACACCTGTGTAGAAGCACCCAAAGGAGAATTTGGTGTATATCAAAATATCTATTTATTATTTACTTAGCAACGGAACCAATCGTCCTTATCGCTATATGTGGGTCAATCCCAGCATCAAGGCTCATCACTATAGACTATATTAGACGATATGTGTGATGTTTGGTATATTTCTGTGACTAATATGGATATGTTTTATAGGCTAGATGTGCATTTCTGAGGCCTGGTGTACCTTTTGAAGGTGCATTGAATTTATATGTCTGTGAAACACAAAGAAGTGATTCTTTCATCTGCCCAGCTAGCTTATTATGCAGTAAATGGGTTTTCTTTCCTCTGTTTTCTGCAGCTTATGTATGAGCTATGTGTTGATCCATTAACGTGTGGGCCAACCATCGAGCTCTTGCGAAACAAGAAGTACGAGTTCTTCTCAAAGGTGAGTGGAAAATTTCGCTGTTCAGTTTCGTTTGGCCTTTTTTGAAGTTTTTTCTTAATAAATAAAGGTTTCCCCGCTCAAATGGGCCAACCATTACAAGAAGTACTCGTATTTCTTTGACTATAAGCAGAATGAGTGATGGGAAAATCTGCTTGCATGTGGGTATACCGGAGGCGAGCGGTGATGACTAACTGAGCCTAACTTTATGACAATGCGTTAGCAGCATTTCAAGACTGATTGGTCGGTTTTGGTACCACATACACCACATCGCGCAACCAGAATTAGACGGTTTTGTCCCTTGATCTCACCGCCATCATCGCGACTAACCGAATAACAGTGATATTGCATCGTGACAAAAGACAGCTTTTCTTCCTTGTACCCACCATCAATAGCAGCACTACAAAAGGCAGCCATTCTCTCTTGCCTGCAGCGCAACCATCACCATCACCAACACCGCAAAAGGGAGCCCTTCTCCCTTGCGCCCAGCACCACCAATGCAGAAGGCAGCCTTTCTCCTTTGCACCCACCACCACACAGTCGGTACCTCCACCTCCGCCTCCACATCCACCACCACCACCTCCACCAAAGGCTACCTTTCTCCCTTGTCCTTGCGGCACCCACCGCTGCAAAGGGCAACCTTTCTCCCGTGCATCCGTCACCACCTTCACCATCATCGGAAAAGGCGCCAGGTCAGTTTTGGATGAAATACATCTTTGATGCACGGGTCTTTACATCATCGCAAAAGGCGCCGTTCTCCCTTGCGCCCAGCACCACCCATG